GAAGGCACTATTTCACGGTCAGGGCGGCTAAGGTCTGGAACCAACTTCCAAGGGAGGTGGTGCAGGCTCCTACCCTGGGGGTTTTTAAGAAGAGGTTAGATGAACACCTTGCTGGGGTTGTTTAACCCCAGTACTCTTTCCTGCCATGGCAGGGGGTCGGACTAGATGATCTTCTCAGGTCCCTTCCGACCCTAGAAACTATGAAACTGCAGGAGGTCATCAAGTCTGACCTCCTGCTCAGGACAGGATGAACCTTGTCTTAACCATCCCAGCCAAGCATTTGTCTAATTGGCACTGAAAGACGTCCCATCCTCAGGTGCACATGATTATGTGGCTGTCTTGGACAGATACTACAAGATGCAGTACTCCTGCCCAAACATAGCTATTCATGGATTGCTGCTAGCTTTCAGGCTGGTCCAACAACAATTATCATTGCATTTCCTTTCAAGGTGGTGCTGTTTGTCGCTGCTGGCTCTTCAGAAGCATGTAGAGATGCTTTACTAAGCTTCACCATAAATATTCCTAGTATGGACAATGCAGCAGCCTGTTCCCATACATTCTGCTGAGATTTGCACAGTCTAGTTTTCTTTGAGTTACTACAAAAAGCAAGAGCACCACTACAGCCTTACTTGCCGTACAGACCCCCAGCCCACCAGCCTTTCCCCATGAAAGATAATTCTACAATTAAGAGAACAGAAATTCCTCCACATTACACTCTCTCTTAGCTAGACAAGCCCAGGAATAACATATCCTATTTTTTCCCATTTGGGGCATGAACCAAGCCCTAATTCAGCCAATGGTGGCTTTTCTGTAGATTTTAACGGGAGTTGTCTCAGGCACTGAAAGAATAAGCTAGAGGTTATGAGAATCCCTAGTGAGAGCAATATTGACTTCAGCCTCATATCTGCTATCCACCATCCTCCCAGAACATGCAACAAAACAGTGAACTGCCCATTTTAGTGCTGTACTGAATGGACCACCACCATAGGACACAGGGTTTTCTTACTAGTAATCCAGGAGGTCCGTTGTGCCCTCTGTCACCCTGCAAGCCTAAAAAGCCCTGGGGAGAAGCACAAAGAGTCAAACCATGCGAGGTGACAGTTGGGAGAGAAAGCAGAAGCAAATACACATAGGTAGGGCTGGCCACGAGACTGCTGCTGATGTCCCTATTACACTGGGTGAACTCTTAGCTCTGCACCTCTCTGGGTTAGCCTTCTATTAGCTTAGTGCCTGACTCATGCACACCGTCTGTGGATTTCCTGACAGGAGGCTGACTGTCTCGATTTTGAGGCCTTTTTTTCAGGGGAAAAATGAAACGGAGTGTTCTGAACAAAATCTTGTGATTTCCTGTTCAAAAGCAAGTTTTACATTCGATTAAAAAAACTGCATTCTCTAATGTAAAATAAAGTCATAGTTAGAAGGCAACTGTGTCAAAGTGCAACTTTTTGTTCAGTCTAAATATTTTCCAGTTTTGCTTAATGAAAACAAATCAGTTTTTTTCCTTTTTCTTTCCCCTCTAAATCAAAACTGGTAGATGCCATGGAGGGCATTGAAAAGGGGATAAGTCACCCTAGCTCTATCCAGTTCAGTGCTGCTCTCCCAGTACAGCATCCATTTCTGCCACTGTTGGAGACTGGGCTGGGCTAGATAGACCACTGGTCTGTCCCAGTATAGCACTGCTTATGCTCCTTTTACTCAATTTTAGGCTACGGAAAATGAAGAATCTCCCACAGGATGGACTCAAAGGACTAGAAAAAGTTAAAACATCTGCACACACAAGGAATTCTACTCACAGCTGGTCCTTTTCTGCCAGGGCTCCCCACAACACCTGATCCACCCTGCAGGATAAGTCAGGCAGATAATAAGGTCTAGAAAATGTCACGCAGCTTCTGCCAACTCCCACCCAAGGCCATAGCATAAGAACACGGACATACATGGGTCTCCACTTTGCTTGCAGGGCAACACCTTGTTGAAATCCACAGGATTCATGTGGAAACCTAACTCACCGCACTTCTTGTTAAAGGCAAGAATCACAAGCAAGGGGTTTCTGGCTCTCACCTCAGCTCCTATTAGATGTTTGTCCACATCAAACCACCACTAGAAAATCTCTGTCTCTGCATGAGGGGTTCAGGACTGGAACTATATGGTCCAGGGGTTCAGGGTATATGGAAGCAAGGGTTGAGAACTGGTAGGACACAGAACTGGAATATGCATATGTGGGCAGTGAGCTTCAGGGGAAAGCTGTAATGAATCGGCAGAGCTGTACTAGGGAGAGAACTGGGGGCAAAGACACATTTGCACGGGTGAATGATGTGCATGTGCTATGTCGTCCCAGCTCACTGCTGTCCAGCTCATATGGTCGTATCACAGTATCCAGCTGTAATAGTCCACAACACATTAGGACATTCAGTTCTAGGGACTGACTTGGATCCATCTCCCTTTTTTATAGAAGCGTATTTATAAGAGACCCTCCATATTCACTAGCAACAAGAATGATCAGAATTACCAACTGAGAACTCTGAAGTTAATGTAACAGGTTGTAATACAGTAGCTTTCACTTGTAGTCTTTCACAGCCAGCCCAAGAATTACAATGCGACAGAGAATGTTTAAGTATATAGTATAGAATGGGAACCTGTGTACCAGGCTTTCCTTCTGGGCCTTCTATTCCAGGAGCGCCTCGTAAGCCCTGTCAAAAAGGTTTATGTTAGATTAGCATCTCAAATGAAATGCACGTGCTTGTATTCTACATGCAGCAAATTTGGACCGTGAAGGATGTATTTAAATAATACAGGAGGAGGTGCCTGCATGCACAAAGGAAATGCAGACCTTTTCACAAGAACAATTGAAAGAGACGGGGATGGGAGACATTTGCATGGGCTTGCTTGCTTGCCCTGGGGTTGTTCAATCCTGACTACTGGAAAAGGAAACAACTAGCTAACGCAGTTGCCTGTCTCTACTGTTTTGCAGTCTTTAAATGCGCCTCCCCACTGCTTCTTTGTTTGTTCACCTGTTGCCTACTTCCCACACCCCAGATAGTGAACTCTCTGGGGCAGGGACTGTGTGTGTTTGCCTGTCTAGGGCTTGGTGCAGTCAGACCCTAATCTTCATCCGAGGTCCCTAGATGTCGGTACCTCAGAAATAATTACTTGCACATAAGATTTCCTAGATGTAACAGGACAAGTCTGTGCTCATCATTGCAGCCTGCTCGTTAACACACGTCTTGTCTTCTTATTGCACCCTCACTCAAATGCAACCAGCTTGTAACAGCTCTTTCCCACCTCTGCTGTCAAACACTATAACCAAAAAATAAAAATAGCAGTGGGTGAAAGCCTATTTTTACTGCTGTGCAGACAAGAATGTTGAATACCTGAAAAATATTTTCCTTCCAGTCCCCTTCTGCCCACTTCTATAGCTATTAATTGTAGCTTATTTGTCACATGTAACACGGCTAATAAAAGTTTCACTGGAAGTTACTTGTGAGTGTTCTCTATTTCCTACATTCCCTGATAGCAGGGGAAAGGCTCATTGCGTTTTGCTAGCATTTTTTACTAACTATATAGTACTTGCACAAAAGGATACACATCCTCTATAGCAGTGGTCTCCAAAGTGGGGTGCGCAAGATGATCCACTGGGGTGTGGGAAGAAAATATTAGAACTTCTATTCATATATAAATATACATATATTGGGGGTGCATGCTCAAAAATTTTTTACTGATAGGGGTGCGCGATCGAAAAACTTTGGAGACCACTGCTCTATAGTGCCATTCAAGTGGATTCCTTACCACTGACCTTACTACATGAATCCCCAAGAGGGTAATGTGGCACATTTTCACCCGTGTGCAATATCCAATAGCTGCTGAAAGCCACGTTATCTCACAGGATTTACCTGGTACCTGATCTATGCTATGAAAACAACAAAGTGAAATACAAGCCAGCCCCAACTGCAGCTAGGGTATAATCAGGGTGCCTACTTCTACTGGGAAATAACCAGCATGTCTGAAGACCTAGGTATGGAAATGGGCATGCAGCCTCTACGGTGCTGTGTTCTCATTCAGGTATGCAGTCACTGCTAATCTTAAGTGAAGCCTGTTGAAAAAGCTGCAGTGCAGACCTAAGAGAAAACATGGGTCTGGACCCCAATCTCATTTGTGCTGGTGCAGGTGTATTTCAGTGCACTCAGCTGAGCTGTACTACCATGTGTTCAGGACCAGCGATTCATGTTTCAGGGAGATGTCCTTGCTTTTAGGCCTGACTTGTGTTATTAGGGCAGTTTGTCCAGTGTCTTCTTTAAAGCAAACTGAGATAGTTGTAGACCAAGTGCAGGGCTGGCATTACTTACTGGGGGTCCTGGGACTCCAACAAGCCCACGTTGGCCCATACGCCCCTGTAAAGAAACAAGCATTACACGAAGGCACCTTCTGCTCCTTAAACAAGGCACAACTTGTGAGTCAGTCCCAATCTAGCATCAGGAAGGAGCTTTAGTAGTAACATGGGTTAATGGACTTCTACAACCATGGATTCATTTATACCTCAATGCAGGGTCACCCTCTATCTAGGCTTCTCTCTGGTGTGGAATTTCCACTTCATCAACACTTGAACAGAGTAGTTTATTCACTCCTGGGTGCAGAGAGTTGACCACCACTACCCACATCTTTGCCAGCAGATTGCTGCTATGTGACTCTGTCTGCTTCTCCTCCTCCTCCTCAAGTATCATTAAATTCAAGGGACTCAAGCACATGCTCACAGTTAAGTATGCTCTTAAGCTTTGTCCTGAATCGGTGCTCTGGCAGAAGGCAGATACCTCATTAAATGATCTGTCAGACAGGAGATGCTTTTTGTTCAGGCCAAACAACCTGTGCTGCTCTCATTTGGGATTCACTGAAGGTGTTGGTTTGGATCGTTAAAGACCTAAAAATGCTCCAACATTCACTGACAAGCAATAAAAAGCATTGTCACTTACCCTGTGTCCTCTTGGTCCCGCCACACCCTTTGGGCCATCTGGTCCTCGACTGCCCTAAAATTCACAGGGGACAACCCAGTCACGTCACACCACTGTGTGTATTTCTAATTTCCCTCTGCCTTTGCTCCCTGACAGATCCAGAGGCAGGCACATCTCTACAACCTGTCAGGAGCCCTTGGCAAAGCCCACTGGAGTCAATGGATTTTTGAGCTTTGGACCAAATGGGAAATATAGATTTTGATGTTGAGTTCTCTATTTGAACAATACTGTGATGTGTGTAATGTGTGTTGCACTTCAGCTAGCAGCTAGAACTTGCATTGCAAACCACGTCAGGTCCACCTGAGATACTGGATAGAGCAAGCTCTATTTTGACATGTGCGGGGAGTAGGAGAGATTGATTTTTTCCATGCCCACACCACACACAGAGCAACCAGGACGTAAAGAGTCTTAGATATCCTGGTCTTCAAACCTGGAGGTTTCTGCAAGCAGACCCAACCTGGAGAAAGATACTGGACTCCTATGCCAGGATTTTGCCTAGAGAAAGGTACATAGTGTGAAGCCCTATTCTAAATCTCTGTATAAGGTTCAAACATGGGTGGCACATTGGGTAGCAGCCCCACTAACTCCTCCAGCACCTTGCTCTCTTGGAGGTCTGTGGTTCGCTGGCATCCTAGATATACCTGTTATGCCAACTTCCATGAGTCAAGGCAGAGAGGCTGTGAGCAAGAGAAAGAGTGGGTGGGGGTGCTGGTACTTTTCCACTTAGCCAGTCAGCTTCACTCTGCAGCTTATAATTCAGCTGGCTCTGCCTTCGCTGAGGAAGGATTTTTTTTTTTCTTTTAAGCCATGCACCTGGTGGAGGCAGATTTCATTCTCACAGCTTGAGGCCTGTCAAACAGACTCGCAGACGGGACTGTGGAGATAATTTGTTCTTGGAATCAGGAGAGCATCTTTAGACAGCAAACAAAATATGATCCCAGGCCCTCTTCGGACAGGACAAGCTGGAGGTTCATCACAGCAAGGTGTCCACATGCAGTCGCTACTACTTGTTTGGACACTGAGGACAGAATGTGAACCTCAGGACGGAGGATACTGAAGAAAAGGGAAATCAGCATTTGGCAGAAACAAAAGCAATTAACTTGTCAGTGTTTATAGCCCAGCGCTTTCATAACACAGGGATGATTCAGGAAAAACCTGGCACTGAGTAATGTGCCTGAAAGCTGGACTCATGAACTGTCAGGGACCAGCACAATCCTCTTAGGAGTGAGTCAAATGTCAGGGGGAATAAGGCCATAACAGGACCTTGTACATGAGCATCATCATCATGTTTCCTCTGAGACTGGTGAAAACTGTTGTGCCCGTTCAGTGCCATGGAGTGCCTGAAAATAACCCCTTACAAGGCAAGTCATTCAGAGTGGATACTGAAGTAAAAAGGGCCAAAATGATACACTAGTATTTCCCAGGCTCATAAAAGCTGAGCCTCCTTACAGGAAAATGAAAACTAATCATTCCCGGCAGCCCTGCTTGTGTTGTTAAAGACCTCTGTGCTCTAATGTATACATCTTCCATGCTTCCCCACCACCCTCCACAATGACTCCATCAGCTTCTCTAGGGTCATGCCCCACCACGCTTCAGGGGATCTTGGACATAATCCTTCCTCTTCTTTCTCCTGCACAATGAACAATCAATAAAATAGTTAATGATGCAGATGTTTAACTGTAAATCTGTCAGCGTCGAGTGAGCCCCCACTGGAAAGAGCAAGGCATGCTCATGCTCCTGAGCTACTGCTCAGGCCCTTTGCAAAGTCAAGCAGGTGCGCCTCAGCATCCATAACATATTTTGAAGGTTTTATTTGCAGCTGTAGCACCCGGTCACTTGGGATTAGTTTACAGTAACACAAAAGCTTGTCAGCCTAGCTTTACTTATTCCCAGTGCAAACTCAACTGTCATTGCAAGGCACTGCTATTGCACCTACGTGGGGGATGGGTGGATTTCTGGTATAGAAACTGTAGCAAAACCCCCAGTTTTTCTTTTTTAATACACACACACACACACACACACACACACACACACATACATACATACACACAAACAATAGATATGCATTCCCTTCCCCTTCCCCAATTATTTCTGGCTTTTCTTTCTCTCCCTCTCTATTCCCCATAGACAAGCATAAGCAAGCTCAGACTTAGGATAAGCTTTAACATTTTTATTTGGGTAGCATGTTTTTGGTTTTGGATATGTACTGTTTTATATTGTATTATTATTAGGTCTGTATTGATTCTTACTGTTGTATACTGTATTATTATCATTTTCGTATTGATTTTTATTGTTTCATATGGATATTGTATGGTTTAGGCCTGTGTTTGTAAGTGAACCAAAGTAATGTCAAGTTTCCATTTTGTATGTCAAGTCTCCATCTTGTGTCCTCTGCCTGGGCATCCCCCAAGTTGCAACTGTATGAGTCACGTACCCCCTCCCATGTAAATTGGTTTCCAGATGAATGAGAGCGATTGGAAATGATTGAAATAGTGGTAGCAGGCCTCTACTGAATGGCCTGTAACGACTGGGCCATCACCTTGCATTGATTCATCCGGGAACCACGGACCTCACCCAGGAACAGAGACAAGAACCCAGCA